AACGTCGAGACCTTCCTGTGACACCAGGAGGGCGAGTGAGGAAGGGGAAGAGGAGGGGAGGCAGAGGAGCGGAGCAGGGGACGGAGCAGGGAGCAGGAGGATGAGGAGGAGGAGGAGGAGGAGGAGGGGAGGGGAGGAGGAGGAGGAGGAGGAGGGGGAGAGGAGGAGGAAGTAGGAGGAGGAGGAGGAGGGGAGGCAGAGGAGAGGGGAGGAGGGGGGAGGAGGAGGAGGGGGGGAGAGGGTAGGAGGAGGAGGAGGAGGGAGGAGGAGGAGGGAGGAGGATGAGGAGGGGAGGAGGAGGAGGATGAGGAGCAGGAGGGGGAGGAGGAGGAAAGAGGGGAGGAGGAGGAGGGGGAGCAGGAGGTGGAGGAGGAGGAGGAGGAGGAGGAGGAGGAGGCTCCTCGATGGCCCTCGCCGGAAAGCGTGCCCACGCCCGAGCGGTGTCAAGGCTCCCCTCGGGACCCGCCTGCCTCGCGGGGCGGACCTCCTGGAGCCGCCCGCACCAGAGAGGCCGCCCTGGTGAGGGGCCCCTCCGAAAGGGGCCCAGGGACACACAAATGAATGCACACACATCCCAGGATCCCATGCTTTCTCCCATGCCTTCTGGAGTTTCGTCTCCCCCACCGGCTCCCCTCATTTCCCGTCTATTTTTTTTCCGGGGGGGTCGACGGCTGATGGTGCCTGTGTGTGTGCGTTTTTTCCCCTCCCGACGCTCCCCGCGCGTGCCCGCCGCGGGGCTGCCGAGCGAGCGACGAGCAGCAACGGGCCTCGCGCGAGGTGGTATGGCGACCCTACGCGGCGGCTGCCGCGGGGCCGCCGGCGCGGCCCGCCGCACGGGAGGCCAGGGCGCTTACGCGCGCGGCCGTGCGCGGGCAGCCGGCGCGCCCACGTCGGCACGGACGGCCCCGCTTTTCTCTGTTTAGGTCTGGCATGCCCTCCTACACCACGCGAAATGGTTAAGAAATCATGGGTTAAGAAATTCATGGTCTCAGAACTTGAAGAAAAACCCAACATGTCTATCAAAATCTTAGGATTTACATTGAAACGTTAAGAATAATCGAGACTCTGGCCGAAAACTTAGGTTTTCTTAAGCATCGCCCAAGGTGTACGGGCAGATGTTTGAGGAAACGTTAGAATGAGTCAACACATATTCCAACAGTAATCACATGATGCTTAACATGCGAAGCCGTCCCCGGACAATTGTTCTGACTGTCTTTGAATACTCCTCCTCTAGAGGGACACGCCCGACGTAAAGTTTTTGGTTTCCGTCACTCAGGCGGCGCCCACATTGGAAGGTACCTCTCAAGCTTTCCTCAGGCCTGCGCAGTGTCCTTGCCGTCACTCGGACGTCCATTACACGTGCATGTTTCGGCTTCGTGCGTGTTTGTGTTGCTCGATGGTCCAGGATGCTTCTCGATGGTTCGCGCCGAGAAAAAATGCACACGTCCGAACGATGCCAAGTGCCCATAAGAGCAAGAGCGCAGCTGAGCACGAGAGGGCGTGCAGGCAGCTACAGAGCTCGGACGTGCAGAAGCAGGGCGCGGACGACGCTGCAGAGCCCCATAGGAAAACAGAGCACCGACAATGCGAGCACCAAATCTGCAAGTGGCCGGGGGGGGCCCGCGCCGTGCCCACGAGTTGAGCAAGGACCGACCGTCCCGGCATTCTTCTTAGAACCCAGCTGTGTTCGAACAGCCAGAACAATGTTCTTAGAACATGAGCCCGATGTGGTAAACAAAATAGACTGAACCAGACACGTTCTGAGAACGTTTCGCCGAAACCACAAAAGTTTCCAATAACATTGTTTGGCAGGCCTATATCAGGGGGGCGTAAGACCCGGGTACAGGGGACTCGGAAATCCCCGACGAGGTCGTCAAAAAACTGACGAGGCCGAGCCTGCATTTTGACGAGGCCTGCCGCTGCAGACATCCCACGAAACTCCTCCTCGTCAAAATCCGAGGCGCGGTCGTCAAAAAACGATGGCGAATCAGAGTCCTGGCAAACCCAGGTCTTACGCTCCCCCGACTATAGGGACGCCAGGACGCTTCGCCACTGCTTGAACGAGCGCTGCCCCACCCCAGCGGGTGTGCGCGCGGCGCCACGGCGCGGCCTCTTCGCAGAGGACCGGTGCTCCAGCTGCCCCCGCGCCAGCGCGTCCAGCTGCCCGACGGCCTCGGCCGGCAACGCCTCTGCGGGGCGGCTCGCGCGAGCCCGCTGGCTCCTCCAGGGAGTTTTGCCTGGCCCCACGACGGTGACGACGACAACGACCATGACGAAGACGACGGCCATAACGAAGACGACGACCATGACGAAGATGATGACGATGACGAAAACGGTGACGAAGACGACGGCGATGACGAAGACGACGACGATGACGACGACGACCATGACCAAGGCGACCACGACGAGGACGAGGACGAGGACGTAAACGACGACGATGACGATGACGACAACGATGACGACGACGACGACGACGATGTTTTCCGCCCCAGGGGAGCCCCGGGACCGCCCCGGGGCCAGCTTCTCACGTCTGAGCCCATGATTCGAAAACACACACAAAAAAAACGAAATTAAAAAACGCTACAAACCTGAGCTTTTGGCGTTCCGCGCGGATCTCTTGGATCTGCGCTTGGCCCCCCCCTCCCTGGCGCGCGGGGCGCGCCAGAGGCGGCGCTGGAGGCGCCGCCCGGTGGGGGCCCAGCGGAGAGTCGGTCCCTTTACAACCCGAAGGACACCTTACAACCGAGATAATTCATTTCCAGCAAAAGATAGAATTCACGAGTTTTTCTTTGAGAAAGACCACATTACAACCAGAACGGCCCACTTTACAACCAGAATGACCACTTTACAACCCACGCGTGGCTCTTTGCAACCAGAGCGGCCACTTTGCAACCAGCCTTCAGAAGCGCGCGCGCGTTCTGCAGGGGCTTCTGAAGCGTTTGAGCGCCTGAACGCCCTGCAGAGGCATCTGAGCGCCTGAGCGCTTTGCAGAGACTTGAGCGCTCTGCGGAGGCATCTGAGCGCCTGAGCGCTATGCAGAGGCATCTGAGCGCTTGAGCGCTCTGCAGGGGCTCATGGGCGCCTGAGCGCTCTGCAGAGGCTTCTGAGCGCCTGAACGTTTTACAGAAGCTTCTGAACGCCTGGGCGCTATGCAGAGTGACCAACGATTTATTCGGCACGCTCCGCCCTCCTGAGTACGCATGCTTCCGCACGTGTGCAAACATGCGGTTTTGCGATTGCCCGTCGATGGGGCGCGGGGATATGGCCTATGATGCAAACGACACACTTTGAAATCCACATGCGTTGGCTAGAATGTTACAAGCGATTTCTTGGCCACATGTCCGCCCTCCTGGGTACGCATGCTTCTGCGAATGCGGAAACATACGGTTTTGCTACTGTCAGAACGAAGGTTGTCTGTGAGGCCAAAAACAATAAATTCATCCACGCGTAGTGGCTCGAATGTTACTATCGGTTTCTTGGCCACATGTCCACCCTCCTGGGCACGCGTGCTCGCAAGTTCGAATACATTCTTTGGTTTTCGTGATTGTCAGACGATGAGGCGCCAGGAAAAACTTGGTCTACGGTACCAAAACTGCAATTTGAAATCCACATGTATCGGCTAGAATGTTACCATCGATCGCGTTTTAAATTTCCGCACTCCTGGGTACGCATGCGACCACGAATGCGAAAACCTACGGTTTTGCGATTGTCAAACAACCAGGCGCGAGAACTAGAATTGCTGTGAGGCCAAACGCACACACACCCACATTGCAATGCACATGTGCCGGCTCGAAAATTACCATCGATTTCTTGGCAACATTTCCGCCCTCCTGGGTACGCACGTTTCCGCACTGTTGAAAACATGCGGTTTCGCCATTGCCAGACGATGAGGCTCGATGACAAGCCTGGGTTTTGACGCCAGAAGCAACAATCTGAAGTCCGCATGCACTCGCTAGAAACTTACCAACAACTTATTGGCCACATTTCCGATTTCCTGGGTGCGCATGTTTCCGCACATTCGAAAACATACGGTTGCGTCGTTGCCAGACGATGCGGCGCGAGGGCAAAAGATATCTATGATACAAAAAAGAAAGAAAGCCGAACGTATTGGCTAAACTTGTACCAACGGCTTCTTGGACACATTTCCGCTCTCTTGGGAGCGCGCGTGTTCCTCTGCGTCTTTTGCTACAAACGCTTACACGTCTCTATTTCCCAAAGCTAGATTTTCAGGCAGAGGTTGCGAGGCTCCAAAAAACGATGAAGATTTAGGGCATGGCTGTGAACAAGCTTAAACCGCTCAGGCCTGTCACCAGCCTGCAGCGGGATGATCTCTATTGGATATCAATGTGTGTTCCAATAGCTCCTTTCTGATACCACAAAGATTACAATAGAACGCCAACTGGGGCACAATATGAGTCTAAGAGGACACGTTTTTGTTGAGTTACAGTTGGTTTCTGGTGGGATCCCAGTAGTGTGCCCGTATGGATCGAAAAGGAAGGGTCCCGATTTGATTCCTATCCGATATCCTTCGTATTCGCAAATATGTTTTAGATTGGATTCCAAAAAGGGCGGTTCCTATTGCTACCGAATGAAAACTCACAAGAATAACCAGCCGGTTTCCATGTAATACCCCCAGTGCGTTTCCCGCGGCATTCCAATAGGATGGTTTCTCGATTGTAATCCGGTGTGGTTTCCAATCGGTTCCATTAGGAAGGGCCCCAACGGGTTTCAATATGAAGCATCCTAATCGGATCCCAATAAGACGCCCGTAGGCCCCATATCGAGGAATTTTGTTGGATACCAATGGGATTCATCTGGTGCTAACCGGATCCCAGTGGGAAGGGTGCCAACAGGATTCCAATAGGATTCCTGTTGGATCCCATTCGGGATCCGCCTCTTCACATATTCTCGCTTCATACGGGTCACTTTACAACCGACACTCTTCAGAGAGCGAAGTGTCTCCCTTACGTGGACCTACGGACATTTCGGAAATTGAAGAACATGTGTCGCTTATGTGCGTTTACTCGCCTGGTTGTAAAGCGGCCTTCCTGGTTGTAAAGCGCCCTTCTGGGCAAACTCACGCTGGTTGTAAAGTGCCACATCTGGTTGTGAAGCGGCCGCTCTGGTTGCAATGTGACCCACGCGACCCGCGCGGAGCGCCAAACGTTGATGTTTATGGCGTTATTTGTTCTTCTTCAACATTAGGCATCGGAGGCGCCGGCGACGACGGCACCGCCTTGACATCGAGCTCCAGAGCTGTCCTGGAGCGCGCTCCAGCCAGCATCTCGCGACGGCAGCGCGCGCCTCCGGACGGTCCTGCTGCGGCTGCTCCTCCCCGGCGATGGGCCTGCTTTCCACCACCACCACCATCAGTTGGAGGGTGGAAGGAGGAGGAGGAGGAGGAGGAGGAGGAGGAGGAGGAGGAGGGTGAGGAGGAAGGGGAGGAGAAGGAGGAAAGGGAGAAGGATGAGGATGAGGATGAGGTTGAGAATGAGGATGAGGAGGAGGAGGATGAGGAGGAGGAGCAGGAGGAGGAGGAGGAGGGGGAGGAGGAGGAGTAGGAAGACCCAACTTATGGTGGTGGTGGTGGTGGAAAACAGGCCCACCACCCGGACCCCCCGGCCAGCCACGGCGCCGGCACACCCGAAAGCCAGCTGCACAGGCAGCGACACCGAGACCGACAGGCATCGAGCAGCCAGGCAGGGTGCACCGACGCAGCAACCTCAAAGCAAGCCGACCGAATCGAACCCACCGAGCGCAACCGACCGCGACGCTCAGCCGAACCGACTGGACCGCGGGCACCCTTGACCCCCCCCTTGTGGCAGGCAGTTCAGTACACAGCGAAGCTTGTTTTCAAATGTTCGGCACCAAGGGGCCCTTGCCGGGAACCATGGCCGTCAAAAACGTCTCGGGATTTGACGGAAGGCATAACCCCCAGGTTACAAGCGAAGCTCTTCAGTAAGCGCATCTGAGGAAGGGCAGGACTCGAGCAGTGCAGGACTGTTCAGGGCACACCCAAGACTCCCTAACAAGCACAACTCTGGGGGTCGGAGTGGGTCCAGACCTCTGGGGGCCCACGCCGTGAGACAGTCCCCGCGTCCGAAGTATAGGCTCTCCTTTCTGGTCGGTCGGTCCGAGCCTGAAGACAGCCGGGGCCGCTGCTTATCGTGAGCGCGAAAGAGCAGGGGCAGTACGAGACAGCGAAGACGAGCGGCGAGGAGGCCAGGCCCGGACCCCGCGCGATCCCAGCACCAGTGGCCTCGCCAGGCGGGGGCCTTGGGGAAGAGGCGTCTGGCGAAGTCCGCAGGGGTGCCTTCTCATCCTCCTCGCACGTATCAGGCGACCCCCTGCCTCCCCCCTCCCCTCCCCCCCCTCCTCCCCCTCCTCTCCTCCTCCTCCCCTCCTCCTCCTCCTCCTCTTTTCTCCTTCTCCCTCGCCCCCCCTCGTCCGCCTCGTCCTCCTCCTCCTCCTCCTCCTCCTCCTCCTCCTCCTCCTCCTCCTCCTCCTCCTCTCCAACTCTCCACCTCCTCCTCACCGCCGCAGCTGCGGAGGTGAGGGCCCGCTCGCCCGGGGGCTCGGTGAAGCCCGAGCGGACTCCCGAACGCTGCGAGCTCAGAGCGCCGCGCGGAGAGCGTGGCCGCGGCAGGCGTGGCGAGAAGATCGATTAGGGGGAAAACCAACCTACCTCGCTTTTGACCACCCTCGCTTCCAAGAGATACCAAACGATGCCAGACTACGGCCTGTACTGCTCAGGCCGCTTGACGAGGAGGCGCGTGGTAGGACTCGGTTTTGCCTGGAAGCGAAAGCGGGGCAAGTAATTCACGCTCCGATCGATGGCGGGATGGACGAAGCCGAGGCGGACAGGGGGGGGGGGGGCGCCGGGAAGGAGAGAGAGGGGACCTGGAGCACACGAGGGAGAAGGGAGAGACATCCGGGGCAGGGCCAAACGTGGGCCGCCCTGGGGTCCGACGCTGCGGCGAAGCAGATTCGGACAGCGAGCAGTCATCATCGGAACACTCTGGGCCCCGTCTTTCTGCAGCACTTTTCGAGCTGAGTCGATCTGTGCTGGTCCTGGGGCTCGAATGCTGAAGAAAACGGCTGGTGTGAGGCAATTGTCACGCCAGGATCTAAGGGCGAAGCCTTCTCCATGCTTTTTCCTTCTGAATACCTCGTCCCTGTCGCACCCCCAGACGTGTTGATCGGGCGGCCGGGCGCTTCGCTTGAGACTTCTTCACCACTAACAACCTTTGAAATGAAACTTTGAAACAATTGCAAAGCTGAAGGGAAGGTAGTTGTTCCACATGTGACTCTCGCCTTAGCGGCGCGCACGCTCGTTCTGAAACGTTGTCGCAATTTCAAGGATGGAGGGCGGTTGGTTTTGACAATGTGGCTCTCGCCTCAGCGCTGCGCACACTCGTCTTGCAAGTCTGCAGCAGCTTCAAGGATTGAGGGCGGCTTCTTTTCGACATATGGCCCTCGCTTGAGCGCCACGCACTTTCGCCTTCAGTCTGCAGCAATTTCAAGAATTCGTAGAGTTAGGTCGGGCATGTCCCCCTACAGGCGAACTTTGGAGCAAAAATTAGGCATAGTCCAACAATACTCCTATATTCTGACTATTCTTGACTGTTCTGGAATATTCTCCTGTAGAGGGACAAGCCCGACTTAAAATCGTATTGTTGAAGTCCCAGGGATGGTGGTCTGGCCCATTCTGGACCTATCGGGACGCAACACTCTTTTAGACCGTCAGGACGAAACAGCCACGTTGCTTCGCCGCGTTGAAGTCCCAGGAATTGTGCTTTGGCACGATGGGGGATGCTGAAAACGGTTGTCTTCAGATGGGTGGGGCACTTCCCGCATTGAACGTAGATTCTTCGAGGGACCTATGAATAGGGAACGTGGAGGGAGGGTTTATTGCATGATCGCTGATGCGTCTTGGGTCAACACTGGTCCGCAGCCTCCTCCTCGTCCTCCTCCCCACGCTTCCCCGCTCTAGCTCCAGCTGCTTCATCCGCTTCACCTCTTCGCTGCTCCTCCTCACCCTCGCCCTCGTCCTCCTGTCTGTGCGCGATCACTGGGGAGTCAGAACTGGCCCTACTGCAGCTGTTCCTACTCCTCCGGATACAGTACACAAATACGATGCGACAAAATGTGATGCAGTGCGGTTGTAAGGATTCTGCCAACCCTTCGGCGTGTGGAAGACGCTGGCATCGTCGTCGTCGTCGTCGTCAGTCCCAAGGACTTTGAGGAACAAGAAAGGAAACAACGTCGTAGTTAAGTCGATTCCCTTCCCTTTATTCCTTCCATGCCTGGTGGGGGGAAGGTCCCGGGGGTGGTGGTGGGAGGGGGGGGTCCCCGGTCAGAGTGCCGCTCCCCTCGGGGGTCCTGGCGAGTCCCGGGAGGGGTCGCCAGTGGGGGTCCCGGGGGAGGTCCCGCCTTGGCACTGGCCGCGAGGGCTTCGCAATCTTGGGCCACACTCTTTGTCAGTCTTTGAAGGTCCTGAGGCGCCCCAGGGCTTCTGTGGGTTGGTGCGGTTCTACCCCGGCATGCGGTCGGCGGTTCCCGCCGCGCGGCAGTGCGCGAAACACTGGGGCGGCGTCATCGAACGCGGGCGCGCTTTCGCACTCAATTCAGATCTATTGGGCGCAAAGGTGGGAGCAGCCATGGCTTCCAGCTGGGCGGACCTGACTGACTTTCTGTTGGTGGGGTTATTCGGTCTTCTCCGCACCGCCGAAATCATATCTTTGACGACCGCTCAACTGCAATTCATCCCGGATGGACAACGCGTTGTCATCCTCCTAAAAAGGTACAAGCAGCTACCGCAAACGCGGGGGGGTCCCTGGGGCCATCGGGAGACAAGACATTTTCGCGGGACACCTGCTGGCAGGCCGAGTTCTTATGTCACGTGCCGGCTGTATCGGAGAGGAAGGCCATTTGTGACCACGGCGGCTCTTCCGCCCGGCCTACACGCTCAACGTCAATCCCATGACCACTCTGGGAGACCACCCCGACCCGTCTTGCCGATGCGGGTCCATCTGTGGTGACGGCAAGCCTCCGGGAGGCCCCGAAAGGGCACAAAACCCGAAGTCGTCTCGACTGGCCCTCCTCAGATTCTGCTCTGCCCCCCTCTGTTCTTTCGCTTCCTTGGCCCCTGCGTCTAGAGGCCTCCCAGATGGGGTCAAGAGTAGATGGGGTCGGAGGATCGGGTCGCATCGTCGATACGTCGGCGATGCATCGGCGATGCATCGGTGATGCACCGGCGATGCCTCGTCGACGTCGGCGATGCCCCGGCGACGTCGGCGTGAAGCAAATCGGGCCCCACATCGAGCCGCATCGGCGATGCATCGGCGATGCGGCGCGATCCTCCGACCCCGCCCGCTCCGACCCCACCGGGGAGGCCCAGAGCGCCAACCCCGCACACCGCGCCTGGTACGGCGGCTGCGCCAAGTGCTGCTGCCTCGGCTGCTGCTGGGCCGCGGGGCCGAAGGCGCCCTCCCGGGGGTGGCAGCCGAGGCCGAGGTGTGGGCGACCGCGGCGACGCGCAGCGACTGCGACGACGACTGGGCGGACCTGGCTGAAGGGGCCCTGGGACACACAAATAAATACACGCAAATAACAGGATTCCCTATATTTTCGCATGTTCTCTGGGTTTTTGTCTTCCCCACCACTTCCCATATTTTCCAATATTTTCTGGGGAGTCGACGATAAATTGTGTCCGTGTGTTTTCCCCTCCTGACTGGCACGAGGCAAGACGTGGCCCAAAGAAGGCGGGTCCTGGGCCGAGGAGTTCCCCGGGGTCAGGCTCGTGTCGCACTGGGTGCTTTCCTGGCGACCCCAGGGCCTGGGAGGGGCCCCCGGAGGCCGAAGTAGAGGAAGAGCCTTCGGACCATCTATCTTTATGTCGGGCGTGTCCCCCTACAGGGGGATCTTCGACGAAAAACTAAAAATACCCCAAAGAGAATCCCAAAGGGTGAACAAATGCTAAAAAATAGTCCCAATACTATGTTTGGATTATTTTTGGACTTTTTCTTGGGTATTCTTTATTTTTCGTCGGAAGTCCCACTGTAGGGGGACAGGCCCGACTTAAATCTATCTTCGTGGCGAGGCGGCGGCGGCGAAACGTAGACGACCTGGCGCTGAAGGCCGCGACACGGGCGAACCGGTTCGCGGGCGATGGCAAGCCACAGGGCACAGCACACACGCGACGCGAGCGCCCACCCCGCAGCTAATTGGCAGCCCCCGACGGCAACGGCGACTCGCCGACGACGACAACGACGACGACGACGAGGCTCGGACAAAAAGGAAGGATAGCAAACGGGGGGGTTAGCGAATTTGCTGCATGCAGCTGGGCATTCCGGGCGCCTCACGGCGCCAGGAGCGACCGCGTGACCGAGGAGAGGCGCCGGGCCCAGTGGCAGAACGGAGCCCTGCTGCGTGCAGCAGGCTCTCGCACCCCTGCTTTCCCCATCTCGGGCGGATGGTAACGGCGGGTGCCCTTACAGGGCAGTTTTTAATACATAGGTTATTTTTTATATTCATATTTATATATATGGTTTTGATACATGGTTTATTCATGAATAAATTTATGCAGGAACTCCTCGTTGTGTTTCATACTAAACCCCGGCATGTTTAATACATGATCCGCACGCGGAGCATGTATTGAAAACGGCACTGCACTGAGGGGCGAAGGAAAAGGGCCCGCAAAGGGGCCCTTGAGGGCCCCTTCCGGAGCCAGCGGGCGCCCCAGAGGGCCCCCCTTTTATGGCCCTTACCTTCACCCGGGCCCCCCCCCCCTTACAGGGCAGTTTTTAATACATGGGATCTTTAAACATACCTGATTTGTTTCACACATGATTGAGTGATCAATGAATTTACGCATGAACTCATCCTTGTTTTCAAAACTAAATCCTTGCATGTTCAATACATGATCCCCACGCGGAGCATCTATTAAAAACGGCACTGTACCACCCGCCCGACTATCACCCCCCTTCCGTCCGGCCCGGGACGACGGCGGCGGCGACCACGGCCCGCGGCGGCGACGACTGGCAGGAGGGCAGCGGCGCCTGCGGCAAGCGGGTCCTCGATCCCTGGGGGCCTCCCCCAGGACCCGCTCTCCACCTCGAGCCGCTTCCTGGTGTTCTTGTCTTCTTGGGCGCGTGGAGGGACGCGAGGTATTGAAAACGGAAAGAAACCCAATACTACTTTTCCCTCAGAAGCCGCTGAGATCCCTCCTCCTCCTCCTCCTCCTCCGCCTCCTCCTCCGCCTCCTCCTGCGTCTCCTCATCCTCCGCCTCCTCCTCCTCCTCCTCATCCTCCTCAGTTTCCTGCGAGCAGCATGAATGAAGGGGCCCTGGGACACACAAATAAATACACACACAAGTGAACATATGCCCTATGTTTTCTCATATGTTCTGGGTTTTCGTCTTCCCCCCACTTCCCATATTTTCCCATATTTCCTGGGGAGTGGACGATTAATTATGTGTGTGTGTGTGTGTTTTTACCCTCCTGAATGAAACAGGGCAAACGAAACACGACCAGCGCCCCAGACGCGATCTTTCGGCGGCGCCTGTCTGGCGAGATCGATCCGTGGTCCTGGGGCCGGGAACGGGGCGACAACGCCAGGGGCGACAAAAAAAACGCCACGCCCAAAGCTCGGGGCCCGTCTCTTTATAACTGGGTCGTCCAGCTTCCGGTCGGGCATCTGCTGACCCGGGTCAACCCAGACCGGGGTCGGTCGGGCCTTGCCGGATCCTGCAGGAGCCTGCCAGGTCCTGCGCCCAAACCCCCAGGCCGATGCGCAGGACCCTGCGAGACCCTGCGAGATCCTGCGCCCACGCCCGGGCCAGTGCGACCCTGGCTCTGCAGGCTCCTGCAAGACGCGGCGCCCTGGCCGACCCCCCTCTGCACCTGACCCCCCTGGCCTCCGAGGCTCCCGGCCCTCCCTTTAAGTCACCCCCTACAAGGGGATTTTCGACGAAAAATAGACAATACCCCAGGAAAGTAATAAAAAAATAGTCCAAAAATAGTCTGGGGACTATTTTTTGAGTATTGTTTGACCTTTTTGGAGCATTTTGGGAGTATTTTCAATTTTTCGTCGAAAATCCTTATGTAAGGGGACACGCCCGACATAACCCTCCCTGGGCCGTCCAGCTGCCGGGCCACAGCTCGGGCCTCGGGCTGCCGCTCGCGACGGCTCGGGCCTCGCCGGGACGCTGCCGGCGAGGCGCGGCCTCGAGGCGAGCACCCTGGGAGAGACCTCCGGGAACCCGGGAGAGCGTCGGCAGACCTCAGGCCTCGATCCTTCCCGGGACCTTTCCTTGTTCGGACGCCCGAAGTGGGCACGGAAAGAGCGGGCCCAGTGCCCAGCAGCAAGTGTGGTCCCAGACCAACAGCGGCCACTGGTGGGCAGGCGGCCTTCTGTCTCAAATGGCCCCAGGCCGCGGCGACACCGACGGCGCTTCCTGATCAAAATGAACTGCTGTTGGGCATTGTACCCATTCTTTCCGTGCGCATTTTGTTCGTGCCGAAGTCTTTCGGCGGCGGACCATACCGTTGGCATTGACCCCCGTCTCTTGAGCCCCGAGCTTATGTTGCTCCCATCGCACTTGCGGACCACACATCCCAGAAATATGTTCGAGCACCCGTAAAAGTATCGAAGCAGTGTCGGAGCAGTGTCGGACGAGTGTCTCCCAGGGCCCGACACGTGGAAACCCTCGAGTTTCGGCACTGTTTTTTGGTGCTCGAACTTCTTCCTGGTGCTAAAAAAGCGAAAGTGGGTTGGAACATCATGACCCCGAGCCCGAACCTCGTCGGAGATTTCTGGCGGGAGGGGCACCGCCCGGCCGACCGGCGGGCCCGCGCGGGGGAGAGGGGGCGATGAGGAGGAGGGGAAGGAGGAGGAGGAGGAGGAGGAGGAGGAGGAGGAGGAGGAGGAAGAGGAGGAGGAGGAGGAGGAGAGGGCAGGAGGAGGAGGAGGAGGAGGAGGAGGAGGGGCAGGAGGAGAGGGCCTCCTGGAGCGCCCCCGCGGCGCCCGCGGCGCCGCCGCGCGCCACCGCGCCCCGCGGCGGCGAGAAGCCGGGCAGGTGCTGCGCCACGAAGGCGCCGCCGAGGGGCCGGTCGTGGAGGTGGCAGCAGATGTCCTGCTGGGCAATGGGGGGCGGCCAAGGAGGGTGGCGTCCAATGAAGGGGCCCTGGGACACACAAATAAATACACACAAATAACAGGATTCCCCATATTTTCCAATATTTTCTGGGTTTTCGTCTTCCACTTCCCATATTTTCCAATATTTTCCGGGGGGTCGACGATTAATTGTGTCTGTGTGTTTTTTCCCTTCCCGATCCAAGGGGGGGGGGTGCAGATCATGACCAGCGGCAGGTGCGCGGCCCAGGGGGGGGGAGGCGCCAGGAAGTCTGAGGAAATATCTCATGGCCCACGCCATGGTGTCCCCCCCCCCAGGCATCACCCCCCCCCTGTCTTTGCCGACCCCGAAGTAAGGTCAGGTCGGGCATGTCCCCCAATACGGGCGTATTTTTGACGAGAACTTAAGAGTCAACAACAATACTCAAACATAGTCAAACAATAATCGACAAATCGTACCCAAACTACTTTTTACTATTTTTGAATATTCCTCCTGTGAAGGGACATGCCCGGCTTAATGGTAAGGCCTGTCGAAGACGATCATTGGAGAGGAGGCATGTTGTCAGATAGTCTCCAGGTGTCTAAAACATGGAATGAAACATGGAAAACCATATTGTAAACATGTTTAGTAATGTTGTTAGTAATATTATTATTACTAGTATTATGCTTCCCAACTGTGCAACATACAATTTACATTTTTATCCACCGATAAGGTTGTTAGACTGTCCATTGTCATGGCATCCACAAGGCCCTGCTGGTGCGGAGGGAGCCCAGACACGAGCGCGTCGCGCACACATATCAAGGCGGGAGGTTTTTGGCCGGTTTCGTCCTCGGGGGGGGCCCTCTCCGGGCCTCGGGAGCGTCGAACAACGACCCAGGACGAAAAAACCCGTCCCAGGGAAAGGTTTTTGGCCGGTTTCGTCCTCGGGGGGGGCCCTCGTCGGGCCTCGGGAGCGTCGAACAACGACCCAGGACGAAAAAACCCGTCCCAGGGAAAGGGTCGGGACTTCAGGGGCCCGTCGGCGGCGAGCGAGGGGGAGAGGGGAGAAGGGGAAGGCCTCCTCGGAAGGCGGCGGGCCATGCTCGGAAGCCCTCACGCGCCTTCTGAGGAGTTGTTGTCGGTCTTCTCGGGGAAGGCTGAGACAACTTCTCAGAAGGCCGGAGGGATTTCTGAACCTTCTGAGAAGGCCTCCTCCTTCTCACTTTGCCCCCTCGCTGGAGTGGACGAAGAGAAACCGGCATAGGCTTATGTCGGGCCTGTCCCCCTACACGGGGATATTCGACGAAGGACAAAAAACCCGAAATACCCCAAAAAGGCAACAAAAATACTCAACAAATAGTCCCCAGACTATTTTTGGACTATTTTTGGATTATTCTTGGGGTATTCTTTATTTTTCGTCGAAAATCCCCCTGTAGGGGGACAGACGCGACTTAAGCATAGGCATGAACTTTTGGAGGTCCGCTCGCATTTCTCGGATCTGCGCTGGGCCCCCACCCCGGGCGGCGCCTCCGGCGCCGCCCCTGGCGCGCTCCGCGATGCGTGAAAGCGAGACCGTCTTGGGCAGAAAGTTTCGGACAGCATGCCGTGCAAACCACACACAGGTTCTCAGAACATGTGTTGGTGGGCCTACAGGCAAACCAGGACGCTTTTCGGCGGTGGACAAACCTCCCTGTTGTAGACCTCCCCTTAATGAAAACGGTCTGGGGCCAAAACCGACGGACCTGGACCCGCAAAAATGACGGCCGCGACGCCCTCTCGCGAACTGAAAACGGCCAATTCCTTAATCGACGTGTCAGGGTAGGAGGTCTATCCACCTCCGAGCTTTGCCACTGCTAGAGGAATAAACAACGACATAAACCTAAACTTTCGGCGCTCCGCGCGGATTTCTTGGATCTGCACTGGGCCCCCCTCCCTGGCGCGCGGAGCGCAACAGGCCGCCGGGGGGGGGCCAGGGCGGACCCAAGAAACCCGCGCGGAGCGCTAAAAGTTATGTTGCTTTTCTTCTTCGAGGTGAGGCTTCGGGCTGCGCGCACTTGAGCGACGAACTTGTGGTGTCCAATACCCGCATAGCGGGGCGCCAGGAAGGCCTTCGAACACCCTTTCGAAGGACCTCTGGGAGCTCTGGGGAAGTGCCTCGGAAGCAACTTCTGGACAACTTCTGGGCACACGGATTGGGAAACGGTGAGAAAAAAGCCAGCCGGAATACAATATCGCCGGAGTTGCTGTGGGGATTCCTGCCGAAGCCGGCGCGAGCTGGTGCGGCTTCCGAGCGGTCTTGCGGGAGACGACGCCGCGACCTTGCGCTGCGGCCTACGCGGGCCGCCAGCGCGGCACAGTGCATTGGAAACGAGGGCGCTTACGCGCGACCCTGCGCGGGGAGCGTACGCGCCAGTGCCGCCCAGATCCTAAGCAGCACCACCATGCCTGGCCACAGCCACCCTGCGCTCTGGCACGGTGGCCGAGCGTGGCCCTGGCCGGGCACGGCGGTGGTGTTCAGGTGCCCTCCGCAGCGCAAGAACCAGCGGCACAACCAGAATTTTGGGAAGCCCTCGCGGACTTTTGGGATCTGCGCCGAACCTCCCCCCTGTCGCGCGGAGCGCGCTGGGGGCGGCGCTGGAGGCGCGGAGAGGAGGGCGAGTGTCCAGCGTCCAGCGCAGATCCAAGAAGCCCGCGCGGAGCTCCGAAAGCTTGTCTTCACGCCGATTGCTCTTCTTCGACTCGGCGGACGTCCTGCGGCGGCTTGTGCTCCATCTCGGCGTACTCCCGCAGGCACTCGAGGTGGTAGCCGCAGCCGCACTGCGCCACCGCCTCTTGAGCAGGGACCGACCATCCCGGCATTCCTATAGGCCCAGCGCGACATGTGATTAGAACTAGCACAATAAACCACAAGCAAGAGTTCTCAGAACAGGTGTTGGCTGGCAGACCAGGGCGCTTTGCAACTGCTACAGGAACAAAACACTGCATAAACCTAAACCTGCGGCGCTCCGCGCGGATTTCTTACATCTGCACTGGACCCCCCTCCCTGGCGCGCGGAGCGCGCAGGGGCGAGGAGGCGCCGCCGCCGGGGTGGGGTGGGGGGCCCGCGCGGATCCCAGAAATCCGCGCGGAGCGCCACAAGTTGATGCTCGTGCCGTCCCTCTTCTCCGGCTGCAGGCACACCAGGACGCTCTGCCACTCCTCCTCCTCCTCCTCCTCCTCCTCCTCCTCCGCCTCCTCCTCCTCCTCCCCTCCTCCTCCTCCTCCTCCTCCCTCCTCCTCCTCCTCTCCTCCTCCTCCTCCTCCTCCTCTCCTCCTCTCCTCGTCCCCCTCCTCCTCCTCCTCCTCCTCCTCCTCCTCCTCCTCCTCCTCCTCCTCCTCCTCCTCCTCCTCCTCCTCCTCCTCCTCCTGCCGCCCGCCTCCGCGCCCGGCCGCATGCAGATGCAGCACTCGTGGCCGGCCGCGCGCGGCCCCGCGTGCTGCGCGGGCGCGGGCCGGGCCTCTGCCGCGCCCGCCGGCGCTGCGGCGGCCACCGGCACCGGCACCGGCGCAGGCCGCCCGCCCTGGTCAGAGGAGGGGAAAAAATACTTTTTTGATTCGGGGATGGACAGACCTCCCTTTAGTAAAACGTGGTTTAATGAAAACGACCCGAGGCCCAAACCTGGCGGGCGCAAGCCTGGAAAATAACGGCCACGGCGCCCTCTCGAGAACCGAAAACGGACAATTCACTAATCGACGTGTCACTGTTGGGGGTTCTGTCCACCCCCGATTGATCCGCGGGTCGAGAGCGCACCTCTTCCGGTCGAAGCTGAGCGGGCCGCGCACAGCTTGAATGAACAAAAGGGGGGGGAGGGGGAAAAAACACACAGACGCAATGAATCGTCGATTCCCCCGGGAACATGGGAAAATATGGGAAGTGTGGGGGGGGGGGAAGACAGAAACCCAGAAAATGGGGGAAAATATGTCGAATCCGGTTATTTGTGTGTATCTATTTGTGTGTCCCAGGGCCCCTTCATGGTCGGGGGTCTGCGCGTCGTTCATCTCTAACCGCGCTCGTTTCTGATGGTGCTCATTTCTGATCGTTCCTGGCCTCCTCCTGGTGGCCAGGGACAGGCCCAGGATGGAACCATTAGAAATGGAGGGATCCTGGCCCCCCCAAAAATCAAGGCTCTTTCGAAGAGTTAGAAATGAACAATGTGTACGAGGATCGAGGCTCGAGAATCGAGGTTCGAGGATCGAGGATCGAGCTTCGAAAATCGATGTTCGGTACGATCGAAAAGGGTATACGGAAAGAATTGCAAATTAGGATGATCCTCAGGACGTGTATTTTGCGGGTTGCTAAAGGTACCCCTGGCCCGAGGTGCCCCCAGCTGCTCGAGCCACTTTGGAGCCCCTGGGGGGCCCTCTGGGCCTCGTGGTGGGCGCCGTGGTGGCCATCTGGGCCTCTCTGTGGAGGTCCTGGGGGCACCTTGGGCCAAGGACACGACTGGCAACGTTCGGCTTCCTACTGGACCCAGGTCGAGGCACACCCGGGCCAGTCGGGCCTTGCAGGATGCTGCAGGATCCTGCGCGCGAGCCCGTGGCAGTGCCCCCCTGGCCCCGCAGGATCCTGCAAGATCCGGCGCTCTGGCCGACCCCCATCCTTGGTATCGCTCGGACGTGTGCACTTTTCCTCGGCGGGGATTACTACATAAGGAGCATCATGGATCACCCTGCAAAGAAACCACGCACGAAACCGAAAAAAGCACAGGGAATGAACGCCACGAGCGATGGCCAGCGTCTGCAGTGACCCCCGTCGCAAGGCTCCAGAGGCCTTGTGCAGGGAGGCGGCCGCGCCAGCCGGCGCCGGAGCTGCGGGCACCGCCGGCGCCGGCGCGGGAGCTGCCACGGCTGCTGCGGCGGCCCGCGCCGCGGGCGCGAAGGCCGCCTGCGGGAGGGGCGGCGGCGCGCCCTGCGCCGCCAGGAGGCTCGTCAGCTGCGGCAGCAGCAGCAGCTGCGCAGAGGGCACGCTGCGCGGGGGCTCCCGGTCCTGGCTGAAGGGGCTGTCCTCGGGGAAGCACTGCAGCTTCCCGAGCAGGCTGCGGACGGGGTCGACCACGCTGCTGAGCTGGGCCTCGAACAAGGCCTCGTCGGTGCTGCCCACACGCTTGCGCTTGCACTGCATCTCCTCGACCAGCTTGTCCTCCAAGCAGCGGGTCACCGACTTGAAGGCCTCCATCAGCTCGCCCGTCAGCTGCAGGAGTGCGCGCCACCTCTGGTCGCTGTGCCTCCGCAGCCAGGCGGCGTCCGCAGGCAGCTCGGGCGCGGCCCCGTGACGCTCGCCCGGAGCCCGCGCCGCGCCGGACAGCCTCTCGGGATCCAGCAGCCTGCCCACGATGTCGGCCTGCGGTATGAGGATGTCGTAGTGGCCCGGCTTCAGGAGCAGGTAGATCTCAGGCCCTCGCTGTGCCCCCACGCTCGCCAACTCCATGGCCGACCTCACGGACCTGCCCGCCTGCATCCGCAGAGTGCCGTGGTCGATGGCCTGGAACTGCGCGCTCTCGCGGTCGACCATGCAGATGCGGACGATGGTGCGCAGCACCCTCGGGCACACGTGCTGGACATGATCCGCCGCATCCTTGTTCATGACGCAGACGTCCCGCTCGCAGTACTCCTCTATGTTCTTCGCGCCCATCGCTTGCGCCCACGTCTCGTACGTGAGGGCGCTGCTCGTGCTGTTCAGGTCCATGTTGGACCCCGTGGGCTCCAGCTGCTCGTGCGCGTGGGCGCGCAGGTAGTCGGCAACCAGGTACCGCAAACAGAATATGAAGGCGCGGTCCGTGTCTGGTCGGTTGAAGTCGTCACCGATTTCCATCAAGAGATCTCGCAACGCAGCCTCGCCTGTGCACTGGCTTCGCTTGCCGATCCAGCCCCGCAGGAGCCGGTTGCACGTGCGTGCAAACCTTGCTAGCACTGGGTTCTGCCGGTGCGGCTTCAGGTCGGAACTGAACCTGCGAAGGCTTTCCAGATTGCCCACCGCCACGCAGCGCTCGATCCATGCAAACAGCACCGCACGATAGTAGCAGTTGCCGTCGCCGCGGACGGGCCGCCAGGCCGTAAAAGACCTAGACAGCTCCTCGAACTGCCTGACCAGGTTGGCGTTGTGCCTGTGCTCGCTGGCCAGCGACCGAATCGGCTGCAGCGGGCGCACGTTTGGCTCCTTAGCAGGACAAGCAACTGCCTAAACCTGAACTCCCGGAGATTAGTAGCAGTTGCCGTCGCCGCGGACGGGCCGCCAGGCCGTAAAAGACCTAGACAGCTCCTCGAACTGCCTGACCAGGTTGGCGTTGTGCCTGTGCTCGCTGGCCAGCGACCGAATCGGCTGCAGCGGGCGCACGTTTGGCTCCTTAGCAGGACAAGCAACTGCCTAAACCTGAACTCCCGGAGATTCGCGCTGATTTCTTGGATCTGTGCTGGCCCCCCCCTCTCCCAGGCGCGCGGAACGCGCCAGTGGGGGGGCACCTTAGGCGCCGCCAGGGATGCCCAGCGCCGATCCCGGCACTCCGAGCGGACCTCCGAACGCGTGCATCTGTGCCGCCGTTTTTCGCCCCTGGCTCCTGCCTCCCGATGTCCGAGCTGAGGTCGACGTCGAACTCGTTCGGTATGTCTCGGGTCGGGCGACAGGGGGGGATAGCAAAGGGGGGGGTGGCGAATCAGCTCACGAAGCTGATTTCCCTGGCGCCTCCCGGCGCCGGAGGCGGCCATGTATCGAGGACTGGGCCCCTGGGTCAGGCCGAAACCAGCTGCAAGCAGCAGATTTCGTACCCCCCCTATTTCCCGGGGATGGACAGACCCCCCTTTAGTAAAACGTGGTTTAGTGAAAACTACCTGAGGCCCAAACCTGGCGGGCGCAGGCCTGGAAAATGACGGCCGCGGCGCCCCCTCGAGAACCGAACACGGACAATTCACTAATCGACGTGTCACTGTTGGGGGTTCTGTCCAACCCCGATCGATCTTCATGGCAGCTCCTGCTGCCAACAGGGGGCTGTCCAAAAGAGAGGGGTGCAAACCATGACCGGCGGCACGTGCGCGGCACAGCGGGGGGGCCAGGGACGCAATGAAACAGGAAGAGGCGCCATGTATCGAGGACTGGGCCCCTGGGTCAGGCCGAAACCAGCTGCAAGCAGCAGATTTCGTACCCCCCCCCTTTCCCGGGGATGGACAGACCCCCCTTTAGTAAAACGTGGTTTCGTGAAAACGACCTGAGGCCCAAACCTGGCGGGCGCAGGCCTGGAAAAGAACGGCCACGGCGCCCTCTCGAGGACCGCAAACGGACAACTCACTGATCGACGTGTCACTGTTGGGGGTTCTGTCCACCCCCGACATCCCCTCCCGTGGCGGCCTTCTCGCCTCTCGGGCTCCCCTCCGGTCGCATGCGTGCGTCTTGGGGCGAGGCCTGTGCGCGCCACCTTGGCAGTCTACACGAGTTCGCCCACCACTCCACAATCGGGGTGGTTATCCCCTATGCTCGGAGGTGGCAGCACTGAGACTGCGTCTGGGGTGGACCTCTCCCAATCCCCCGCCCGGCCGCCGAGAGCCTGTGGTGCAAGCGTTGTGTTACGCCACACGCGGCGCCCACGAGGTGCCGACGGGAGGAGGAGGAGGGGGAGGAGGAGGAGGAGGAGGAGGAGGAGGAGGAGGAGGAGGAGGAAGAGGAGGAGGAGGAGGGGGTGGACCTCTCCCAATCCCCCCCCCTCTCGTCCGGCCCGCATGTCGCCCTCGCCCTCCGACCAGTCCGAGCCCTCGCCCGCCTCGCGGGGCGCGGGCTCGGGGCCCTGCACCGCCGGGAGCGGCGCGAGCGCCCCCGGCGGCGGGGCTGCCGCGCCGGCGCCGTGGTAGCGGATGCCGACGCCGGACACCTGGGAAAAGGGGCCCCAGGACACACAAGTAAATACACACGAGTCACAAGCTTCCCAATACTTTCTCCTATTTTCGGGGTTTTTTGTCTTCCCCCCCACTTCCCCTATTTTCCCTTATTTTCTGGGGGATCGACGATTATAATTGTGTCTGTGTGTTTGCTTCCCTCCTGAAAAAAACGCCGGGCTCTGCGGTGTGCGCGTGCGCTGCGGCAACAAAAAAACAGCCGCGGTCGCACTGGCTGGCGAGTGGGTCACGCTACGGGGGGGGCCCCCAACGCGCGCCGCGGCCCAGGCGCGCACAAACATGCGCTTTCCTGCAGTTCCAGCCTCAAGGGGACGCACGGCCCCGTGCCCACTGGCGTGGCCCGTGGGAACAGGCTGTTCCCCTTCACAATGTCGAGGAGCCTATCCCCGACCAGGGCGGCGGAAGGGTGGGGCTGATACAGCGTGCACTGGTCGGGATGGGGGTACGTTCGGCGATACTGACTCGACTCTCGGCTCTCTCGCTACAAGTGTACCCTGCGCAGCCGGGACTGACTGCAGAAGGCGCCCGAGAGGACACGAGACCCTTGAGGCAACACTTCGTCTGGACATGGAGAGAATACGAGATGTGATGGGCAGGGCACAACTCTTCGATGGGCAGGACACAAGAATATCCTTCATTCTGTGGGCTCGACCTGCTAATGGGGCCTGTCTCTTACCCAGTGTGTACACAACGCTTCCCAGCAACACAACATGTATGGAGGGACCAAAGCAGTACTAGTACCGATACTGCTACTTCACAGGCCTCTCCTGGGCCGCGTTCTTCGAGGCGAATCCAGCCGTGGCGACGACGGAAGGATAGCGACATTGGCATCGTTTCCTCATCTGACTCTCATCAGACGATGCTGAACCTGGACGCCGGCCCAGCTGACCACCTCCGAGACCTTCCTGGCGGGCAAGGCGCGCTGCTGCGGCCACGCCTGGGGCACCATCTCGCGCGCGGCGGCGGCGGCAGCGACGCCGCCTACCGCCTGCCTGGCGCGCTGGCGCCGCCCTCTCAAGCCCCTGCAAACGGGGCGGCAGTAAATGGGCCGGTAGCTGAGTGTGCGTTTTCAGTGGCGCTTTCAAGAAACGGATCCGCCGCGCGCAGGTGCGAGGTACCCCCCCCCCCCCGCCGGAGTTATGATGACGTATCGACGTTTTCGTCGTCCCAAATTATCACGCACTAGTGCGAGGCAAATGCCCTGTCATCCCGTCCTCGCTTGAAATGACTCCTTACCTACCGCCCTGTTTACTATCAGGTCGAGCATGTCCCCATAAAGGCGGATTTTGGACGAAAAATTAAACATACTCAACAAATACCAGAAAACAGTCAAACATACTCAAAACATCGTCCCCAGACTATTAATCTTACTATTTTTGAATATTCCTCCTGTGGGGGGACAGGCCCGACTTAAGTTTACGAACGCCCCGTTTGCAGGGGCTTGGCCTTTGTGGACGCCCGAAATGGGTACAGAAAAATTGGCACAATGCCCAACGACAAAGGATGTCCCAGACCAACAGCGGCCGCTGCTGGGCAGGCGGCCGTCTCGAATGGGCACAGGCCGCGGCGGCGTTGACAGCGAGTCCTCGGTAAGATGCAACAAGCACTGCTGTTGGGCATCGCACCCGTTCTTTCCGTGCGCACTTCCTTCGTGCCGAGCAGGCCGCGGCGGCGTTGACAGCGAGCCCTGCGTAAGATGCCACAAGCACTGCTGTTGGGCATCGCACCCGTGCTCTCCGTGCGCACTGCCTTCGTGCCGAGCCCTGGGGCCCCGCGCGCAGGGCCCCATGGCGTGGCCTTCCGAGAAGCTCCCCGCGCCGCCCCCGCGCACACGGGGCGCTTCTCGGGAGGCGCGAGGGCTTCCGAGGAGCCCCGCCGCCTTCCGCGAGGAGGCCTTCCCCAGGGCGCCGGCCCGGCCGGCGCAGCCCTCGGGCGCCAGCCTTCGGGCCAGGCCTTAGGTCGGGCCTGTCCCCCCACAGGGGGATTTTCGACAAAAAAACAAAGACCCCCAACATAATCCAAAAATAATATAAAAATATCCGGGGATTATCTTTGGGATATGGTTTGACCTTTTTGGGGATATGTTTGGGGTATGTTGTATCTTTCGTCGCAAATCTCAAAATAATGCAAATTAATCCAAACATAATTTTCCCGGCAAAGCAGCCCAACAGCGATGTGTATAAGCATATCTGTAAGCATCCCTTTTAATACTCACGTGATAATCCAGTTGTAGAATTCTGCTGTTCTCGCAGTCGCAGTCGCATTCGCAATGACAGTCGCAGTGGCAACCGCATTAGGATCCAATGGAATCCTAAGGATTCCTAGGGATTCCTGAGGCATCCTTAGGAATACATAGGAATCCTGAGGAAACCTTAGGAATCCTTATTCCTATGGTTTCCTAGGGATTCCTAAGGATTCCTAGGGCATCCTCAGGATTCCCAAGGATTCCTGAGGATGCTTAACTACGCCTACGGATTCCTAAGGATGCCTACGGATTCCTAAGGATTCCTGGGGATTCTTAAGGATTCCTATGGATTCCTACGGATGCCTCAGCCTGCCTCAGTTTCAGCCTCAGCCTCAGCCTGCCTCGGCTTGCCTCCGCCTCAGCCTCAGCCTGCCTCGGCCTCAGCCTCAGCCTGCCTCAGCCTCAGCCTCAGCCTGCCTCGACCTCAGCCTGCGTCAGCCTCAGCCACAGCCTGCCTCAGCCTCAGCCTGCCTCAGCCTCAGCGTCAGCCTCAGCCTGCCTCGGCTTGCCTCAGCCTCAGCCTCAGCCTGCCTCGGCCTCAGCCTGCCTCGGCCTCAGCCTGCCTCAGCCTCCCCTCCTCCCCCCCCCCCCCATCCCCCCCCTTCCCCCCCATTGAGCCTCACCTTATCTCAGCTTCGGCCTGCCTCGGCCTCATCCTCAGCCTCAGCCTCAGTTTAAGCCTGTCTCGGCCTGAGCCTGCCTCGGCCTCAGCCTCAGCCTGCCTCAGCCAGCCTGCCTCAGCCTCAGCCTCAGCCCTCGGCCTCAGCCTCAGCCTCAGCCTGCCTCAGCCTCAGCCTGCCTCAGCCTCAGCCTCAGCCTCAGCCTGCCTCAGCCTCAGCCTCAGCCTGCCTCAGCCTCAGCCTCAGCAGCCTCAGCCTCAGCCTGCCAGCCTCAGCCTCAGCCCTCAGCCTCGCCTCAGCCTCAGCCTGCCTCAGCCTCAGCCTCAGCCTCAGCCTCAGCCCCAGCCCGCCTCGCCTCTGCCTCAGCCTCAGCCTCAGCCTGCCTCAGCCTCAGCCTCAGCCTCAGCCTCAGCCTCAGCCTCAGCCTGCCTCGGCCTCAGCCTGCCTCGGCCTCAGCCTCAGCCTGCCTCGGCCTCAGCCTGCGTCAGCCTCAGCCTCAGCCCGCCTCAGCCTCAGCCTGCCTCAGCCTCAGCCTCAGCCTGCCTCGGCGTGCCTCAGCCTCAGCCTCAGCCTCAGCCTCAGCCTGCCTCGGCCTCAGCCTGCCTCGGCCTCAGCCTGCCTCAGCTCGGGCATTCAAAATATGGCACAGGATTGGCGTTCTGGGAACACGAAGATTACGAAATGGGTTACAATTGGCTCTGGGCAATCAAAATATGGTACAGGAATGGTGTTCTGGGAACACGAAAAACACGAAGTGGCCTACGGTTGGCTCCGGGCATTCAAAGTGTGGCCTGGGAGTGGTGTTCTGGGAACACGAAGAACACGAAGTGGCCTACGGTTGGCTCCAAGCATTAAAATGTGGCCTGGGAGTGGTGTTCTGGGAAGACGAAGAACACGAAGTGGCCTACAGCTGGCTCCGGGCATTCAAAACGTGGCCTGGGAATTGTGTTCTGGGAAGACGAAGAACACGAAGTGGCCTACAGCTGGCTCCAGGCATTCAAAATGTGGCCTGAGAATGGTGTTCTGGGAACGGATTCCTAAGGATTCCTGAGAATTCCTAAAGATTTTTAAGGATTCCTGGGGATGCACTTTTGTCTGGCTCCTTGTCCGGATCCTCCCCAAACCCCCCTGGAGCGTCAAGATGCTTTCTTTTGATCCCACTAGGAACCTATCAGCAAAAGCTGTTAGGTAATAGTCCAAAAATAATCCCAAAATAAGATGGGGACTTTTTTGGATATGGTTTGGCTTTTTTGGGGGGGTATTGTTTGAATATTTTACATTTTTCGCCCAAAATCATCTTTCGGCCTTTTTTGGTGCATTTTGGGGGTATTGTATTTTTTTCCATATAAAATCTTCCCTGCAGGGGGACACGCCCGACTTCAGGCCTGGCCGCGCCCGCGGCGCCGGCCGGGCCGCCCCCGCCAGCCGGGGGCGCGCGCGCGCGCGCGCGGCCCTCGCCCGCGGGCGGGGGCGGCGCGGGCGGGGGCGGCGCGGCTCTGCGGCGCGGGGGCTGCTCGCGCGGGCGCGCGCTCGCGCGGGCGCGCGCGGCGGGGGCCCGGAGCCACGGCCGCGGGTCGAGGCCCGGGAGTGGGTCGGGCCTGTCCCTCTACAGGCGGACGTGCGAGGGAATATCAAAAGGACGCAAAGAAAAAGAGCAAGCAAAACCAGTAGAACACGAAGACTGTGGGGGAAAAACAAAAGCAAAAACAAAAACACATACAAACACACACGGTGGAAAACAAAAAAAGCACACACGGGCGGGTGTACGAGGGAAAATCAAAAGTACGCAGCAACAAAAAAGCAAGCAAAACGAGCACGACACAAATGCTGCACAAATCGTCCCCAGACTATTTGTGACTATTTGGGAATATTCCTCCTGTAGAGCTCCCCGACTATTTGTTGACTACTTGGGCCTGTCTCTAGGGACAGGCCCGGCTTCAGTCTAGGAGGCCCAAGCTCCAGAGGGTCCCCTCCACCTCTCACTGCGCCGCGTGGATCTCTGTCAAGGCAAAACCCCGACACGGCGAGCGAAAAGCGAAGAGCACTTCACGTGGATTGCTTTCGTCGTCATTCCTGGCAACAAGAAATCCGCACGGAATTCACCTCGAAATCCGGAACGAAATTCTCCAGGACAGTCCGGGCCCACCCTATTGTTTCCCAAACGAAATCCGCTCTGCGATGCTGGCGCCATGATCCATCTCTCCATCGCTCCAGCAAGAGCCTGGAGACAACGAGACAGTCGACAAAACCGCAAGCGTCGCCCAAAACAAGACTATACAGATCGCAGTGAGCATGCTTCGGGGGCGCTTCACTCTGATGTGCAGCCGGCATGCCCTGCGAAACCTCAAGCCCGGCTGTCCACTCGCGCGTGGATGGCGGACGCGCTCGTCAGAGTCGTGCCCGCCACAGTGCTCCCGGCCGTGCCGCAGGCCAGCGGCGCGCCAGAGGGGGGAGGTGGGCAGGGGCGGGGGCTTTTCCTGGCAGGCGGCGGGCTATTGCTCGGCCCTCCGAGCCCTCGGAGGGGGCAGGCCTTAAGTCGGGCCTGTCCCCCTACAGGGGGATTTTCGACGAAAAATCAAAAAATGGCAGAAAAAGAATCCAAAAATGAGCAAAAAATGATCAGGGGACTCTTTTTTGAATATTTTTCTGCCTTTTTGGGGGGTAGTTGTTGGGCATTGTGTATTTTTCGTCGAAAATCCCCCTGTAGGGGGACACGCCCGACTTGAGGCAGGCCCCGCCTGCCTGCCCTCCCCCCGGCGGGCGCGCCGCCGCCGAGCGAGCGGCTGCTCGGCGCCGGGGACGGCACGGCGAGGGCAGGACGGGCGCCGCGGCCCGTGCGCGCTCGCTGCTCGGCGCCGGTGGGGCTCGGGCGAGGGCTCCTTGCAGCAACGCCGGCGGCGACCGATGCGAGGGGGCCTGCCTCCTCCCCCTCCTCCCCCTCCTCCTCCTCCTCCTCCTCCCTCCTCCTCCCTCCTCCTCCTCCTCCTCCTCCTCCTCCTCCTCCTCCTCCCTCCTCCTCCTCCTCCTCCTCCCTCCTCCTCCTCCTCCGCCTCCTCCTCCTCCTCCTCCTCCTCCTCCTCCTCCTCCTCCTCCTCCTCCTCCTCCTCCTCCTCCTCTCCTCCTCCTCCTCCTCCTCCTCCTCCTCCTCCTCCTCCTCCTCCTCTCTCCTCCTCCTCCTCCTCTCCTCCTCCTCCTCCTCTCCTCCTCCTCCTCCTCCTCCTCCTCCTCCTCCTCCTCCTCCTCCTCCTCCTCCTCCTCCTCCTCCTCCTCCTCCTCCTCCTCCTCCTCCCCTCCTCCTCCCTCCTCCTCCTCCTCCTCCTCCTCCTCCTCCTCCTCTCCTCCTCCTCCTCCTCCTCCTCCTCCTCCTCCTCCCTCCTCCTCCTCCTCCTCCGTCCTCCTCCTCCGTCCTCCTCTCGTCCTCCTCCTCCTCCTCCTCCTCCTCCTCCTCCTCCTCCTCCTCCTCCTCCTCCTCCTCCTCCTCCTCCGTCCTCCTCCTCCTCTCCTCCTCTCCTCCTCCTCCTCCTCCTCCTCCTCCTCCTCCTCCTCCTCCTCCTCCTCCTCCTCCTCCTCCTCCTCCTCCTCCTCCTCCTCCTCCCCTCCTCCTCCTCCTCTCCTCCTCCCTCCTCCTCCTCTCCTCCTCCCTCCTCCTCCTCCTCCTCCTCCTCCTCCTCCTCCCCTCCTCCTCCTCCTCCTCCTCCTCCTCCTCTCCTCCTCCTCCTCCTCCTCCTCCTCCTCCTCCTCCTCCTCCTCCTCCTTCCTCCTCCTCCTCCTCCTCCTCCTCCTCCTCCTCCTCCTCCTCCTCCTCCTCCTCCTCCTCCTCTCCTCCTCCTCCTCGGCTCCAAGATACCTTCCATAAGAAACCCAACCCTGAGATCCCGGGACGTCCACTGGCTTCTGGTGCGGGGACGTCACGCCTTCCATCGCAGAGCCCTCGAAACCCCAGAAACCCAGGGCATCCTGGAGGCAAGCAAGGTGTTTCCTGGCATGGGCCTCCACTGTATGTGCTCGAGAGCGGGGTGCGGAGGGTGCCGGCTCCCGACGAAGACTCCGACCACAGCTCCCGACGAGCACGACTTCCACGGCCACGGCGCTCCCGGGCTTGCTTCGGGAGGCGGTGCCCTCGGCAGATCCCACCTCTCGCCACAGCTGCGGCAGAGAAGGGCCGCGCAGTCGGGGCCCGGCCACAGGAGACCTTCCACAAGAAGCCCAGCCCTGAGACCCCAAGGCGTCCATCGGTTTCGGGTGTGGGAACGCCACGCCTTCCATGGCAAAACCATCGAAACCCAAGAAATGCGGGACACCCTGAAAGCAAGCAGGGTGCTTCTTGGTATGGGTCTCCACTGTGCCTAAGATGCGGCCGAACGGTATAATCATCACTTGAAGCGCGGCGGTTATCATCCAATCGTAGCCCACACCAGCTACGCCGCTGTCTACCCTGCCTTGAATGTGAACCTTGCACGCACATCGACCAACTCTCATTCGAACGCTCACCGTCTGCATCCGTCTTTACATGTGCATCAAGCTCGCAGCACGCCAAACATGAGCACAATGGCAAGAATCGTTGTTCGCTGCTCGGAGGTTGCCGTGCGGGAAAGGCGAGCTGGGACTGCAACATATAGCGCTGCCCAGCGTTACCTCGCAAAAAAATATGTTGTCCTTCTGACTTGCACGCGTACCAACAGGCTGTAATACAACGTTGGTCCTAACAAGCCACACCGTGCCGCAAGCGGAGTGCTCTCAAACCGCCGAAATAACTTGTCGCCAATCGGGACCCCAGACACCCCAAACACATTCTGAGGTGTTCCTGAAGATTGTCGTAAGACGTCTTCTGAGACCCTGGACGCGTTGGTGGGAGTCCGCGCTTCCAACGAATCCTCCGCGACCGTCCGAATCGGTCAAAACAATGTAACTCTTGTTTGGTGTGAACATTGTCGGATTTCGGGGCCGGAAGACGCCTCTGAGAGACCGCTGTTCCACGACCCCAGCACTGGAATGTGCCGAAGGCCACGAAATACGAGTATGCAAACAAGGGAAGTGCCACCAAACGCAAGGTCAACAACGGTTCCAAACAATCACGCGTGTACGTGCATTTGCTGCTGTCAGTGATCTAACCCGCGTGACAATATCGGCGACCAGAACCTTTTACCTAACGACATCGGAAATGAACACACGCGAACATACCATCGCCACAGGGAAGGCCAAGCAGAACGCAACGGGATGGTGGGGTTCAACGAGGCTGGTCACAACAAACAAACATGATCGACCCACAAGCCTGGAAAAGGATTGAGAAATGCGAGGCATGGAACCGTTTCTAAGGATCTCAATGGCATATGCTATTTGGCGATGCCAGGGGTGCATGCCAGAGGGACGCGCCGCGGAACGTCCCAAGGGGCGCGCCAGGGGACGTGCCACGGGCGGTGCCATGGGGACGCACCGCGGGACGTACCAAGGGGACGCGCTACGGAACGTGCCAATGGATGTGCCATGAGACGTGCCAGGAGACACGCCGCGCGACATGCCAGGGGGACTTGCCAAGGGACGCGCCAAGGAACGTGCCAGGGAACGTGCCAGGCGACGCGTCAAGAGACGTGCCAGGGAACGCGCCAGGGAACGTGCCACGGGACGTCCCTGACCCAGGGCCAGGATCCCTAGTAAATCACGCTACGTTCGCGCTCCGAGGGCCACGATACATTATGAACTACTTACGCAGGACAAAAGATGTTCCTCTTGAGGTGCAAATGGCGATGATGAGTTGGAAATGAATGACCGAGCCCCATCCCCCCGTAAGATCTTAACATGGACGGGTTCCGGGGTTCGCGGATCCGACTTCTTCTGGCTCACAACTTTAATGAAATAATATAAATTTAAAACTGGATAAAAGCCGGACCCGCCGTAAAACATAAGACCGAACACGGATCCAGCAAATCCGAAATCGGATCCGCGCGGACGGACATCGGATCCCTCGACGCAAACGCCAAGGCCACAATTGGATCACGGGATCCGACGGTGGTTCTCACATGCGCGCCTGCCGAAGACTTCAAGCCGCCGTTCCGGGCCCACGAGGAAAACCTCTCGTCCTGGGGATGTACTCTGCGCCCGCGCTCCCCGGGCCACCTGCGGCCTCTGGCGCATTCAGTGCACAGGGTCTTCCCACGCAAGCAACTAGAAGAGTGTCTCTGATGCTATCTGTTGCCTTGTCGCTGGGCATGGCCTTGCTGTCTAATGCCCAGCGCACTCCTACCAAGACATGAAGTCAGGTCAACAAACCCGCACGATACCCCGTAAATGACGCTGCGCCCGCTCCGCCCGGGCAGCGATCCCTCCGCGAGCGTGGGCGGCGTCGGCGCCCCGCGCGGTGCCCGCCCCGCAGGCGCCTGCGCACCCCGGGCGCCCCTGCCTGGGCCACGGTGGGCCCCCCCCGGGCACGGCGCACACGGCCGCCCGGCCGAGGGCCAGCACGGCCCGTGCTCCCAGCTGCCCCGGTACCTTCGGGGCGTGGACCTGAGGAGCCCTAAATTGATGGGCCTGTCTTCCTTCCACCACCACCACCATAAGTTGGAGGTGGAGGGGGTCCTCCTCCTCCTCCTCCTCCTCCTTCTCCTCCTGCTTCTCCGCCTCCTCTTCGTCCTCATCCACCTCGTCCTCCACCTCCTTCCCCCCCCCTCCAACTTATGGTGTTGGTGGTGGGAGACAGGCTCACCATAAATAAGGAACGAGGCCCCTTTTCTCCAGAAGTTGAGCTTCGGTTTCTCAGCGAAAGCCTTAAGGAACACGTGAGGCAAGCTGCGAAACCATCAAGGAGCACGGAGCCCCTCCCGAACGAAAAGAGTTCCTTCTTCAGCGTACCGACTGTACAGTGGGGGCCCGACCACAAGAAACCTTCCACAGGAAACCCAACCTTGAGACCCCAGGACGTCCTTCGTTTTTTTTGGCGTGGGAAAGTCACGCGCTCCACAGCAGAACCATCGAAACCCAAGAAACCAAGGGCACCCTGGAGGCAAGCAGGGTGGTTGTTGGCATGGGCCCCCACTGTAGCTGCCCCGACACGCAACACGCGCCACGCAGCGTATCGATATGGAGCTCAACGCGTACCGTCGACCCGTATCAGAAGTATGCGCGATGAGGATGCAGAGGGCCTTGGAAGGCCATGTCGGAGCTTTCCCGAGCGGGGCGCGGCCAACGAAAGTGGCCAAGGATGGAGCGACGAGGCACGGATGCAGGGATACCCTCGGGAAGATTGCCCATCCGTGCTGTGCGAGCTGACTGTGGACCGAGCACGCGGGCCTGGCGCGCTACGCTCGCCGACGTGTGGGCCGATACGCCGAGCCGGCACGCCACGCGTTGGCACGGACGTTCCGAACACGGCGCGGGCCGTGCCACAACGAGGGCGTACGGAGGCAGCCGAGCCTGTGCACCACCCTGCGGCTCCAGCGGCGGCCCTGGCCTGTCACGGTGGCCGCGCCCCCTGCGGACGCCCATCCCCCCCCTCCCCTGCGGCGCGGCGCGAGGCTGCCCCTTTTCTGCCCTCGTCGACGGTGCAGCCGACCCCCCCCCCCCCCGCGTCAGGCCGACCAGGCGGCGGCTGAGCGGCCGCGGTCCGCCCTGCCTCGAGCGGGGATGCTGCTGCTGCTGACGATGTTGATGATGATGATGCTGCTGCTGCTGCTGCTGCTGCTGCTGATGATACTGATGATGATCCTGATGATGATGCTGCTGATGCTGCTGATGATGAGGATGCTGCTGGTGATGATGATGCTGATGATGCTGCTGATGAGGATGATGATGGTGATGCTGGTTGGATGCGGCGCGCTTCCGCGGCGCGCACGTCGGACCTCCCCTCGCCCCTCGTCTTCCTGCACCCATCAGGACGGGCGTCCGAAGAGTCCACGCACGAATCGTCGGCGGCGACAAAGATACGAAGCTGAAGACGGGTTGTTGCGACGGCGCGCGGGGCGGGGAAGACAGGTAGATGTCAAATGTGCAAACACGTCGGTGCGACGGCGACTTCGAAGGGGCATGGACAGACAGGTGGGCAGATGGCAGTCGGTAGCCGCGCCATGCCGATTGTGCGGCAATTGACGGCGCTTTGACAACCAGCCAGAGTACGCCTCGTGATGCATGGGGCCCCCTCGAGAAGGTACGAAGGCAGCACGGACTGCTGGGAGCGAGCAGGGCAGAGGCGGCCACATAATGACCCTCCTCGCCCACCTCCTTCACCTGCCGCTGCCGCTGCTCGTCCTCCACATACCCCCGCCCCTTCCACCTGCGCCTCCAACCTCGCCTCCCCCTCCTCCTCCTCCTCCTCCTCCTCCTCCTCCTCCTCCTCCTCCTCCTCCTCCTCCTCCTCCTCCTCCTCCTCCTTATGGCCAGACGAGGCGTCGAGCTGTCGGTTTCGCTGCGCCGCCCCCACCGGGCCAGGGACACACAGGCTGGTGTCCACCTCCCTGGGCCTCCATCAGAAATGCTGACTGCACTGCTCTTCCGCCTCGCTGACGTTGTGCTGTCGCGCGCCCGTCACAGCAGCTCTGCTGTCCGCGGCAGCAGCCGCCCACCATGTTCTGAGAGCTGGCCCGACCGACGACGGCTGCCAACCTGGGCAACACGTGCTGCCTGGGACGGCGCTGCGGCATGACGATTAATAAAACACATGGGAGAGAACGATTAAACACATAGTTTTCTGCTATTTCTGCATAATTTTCTGATTGGGGGAGGACGATGAAAAATAGTTTTCCAGCCCGCGGCCGGTTTTTTCTAATCGTCATCCCGGGCGCCGCCGCGTGAACACGACCCCCGGTCATTTATTAATCGTCATCCTCCATTATCTTACAGCTCCCATGGTCCCATTACGAAGCCCTGTCCCGAACACGCGTGCAAGATGGACATACGGCGGGCGTGTTTGTATGAAGCCCGAGCTGTTCAATGGGTAGCTGAGAGCTTCAGGCACTCAAGCTGGCTCCCAACGCGGATCACGCCGCTCCAGTTTCGGAGTCTCTCGGAGGATGGGCCCCGCGACTACCCACACTCCTTGCACGATCCTTGCTTCAAGCCAGCCTGGCGAAGGGCTCAACCCAATGCAGCTGCGCGTGTTGCAGGGTGTGCAGGGTGCGGCCCTGTCTCTCGGATGCGCGTCGAGGGGGGGGGGCGCGCACAAGCGCGCTGATGACCATGCGGGGCACGATCCGTATGCGGTGTTTGCCGAAGCTTGGCGCAAGGCGACGCGGGTGGAATTAGGTCGGGCATGTCCCCCTACAGGCAGATTTCGGACGAACAACAGAAACACCAAGCATACTCCACAATTGCCAAAACAGAAAAACGTCCAAAAACGTCCCCAGACTATGGTTTTGACTGTGCTGGAAGATTCCTCCTGCAGAGGGACACGCCCGACCCACGGGTAGAACTCCCTGTAGGGGCCCGACGCGTGTGCAGGGCACGCCGCAGCGGGCGTGGGGGTGGCGTGCGCCCGCGCCCGTGGGGGGCCGTTCGAGGAGCACCCTGGCAGAGCCACGGAGCGTGCGATGGGCCCTGCCGGGAAGCTCGGCAGGGGAAAGGGCGTGCCGTCGGGGCGTGGACCTTCAAGGCACCCCAAAGCAGGAGCGAGAGGCCCCGTTCTCCCATAGATCAGGCTTCGACTTCCCGTGGGGAAAACCTCTTGGCCGCCCCCGACCGGCCCCCGCCCGCGCGCGCTCCCCGCGCCGGGGCGGCCTGCCGAAGTCTCGTCTCAGGGACCTTCTGACCCGGGTCAATCCAGACCCGGGTCAGCAGGAGACCAAGAACTGCAATGCAGGAAACAAAAACTGCAACGCAGATCTTCGCAAACCCGGGTCAGCCAATATACGCGCGGCCGCCTCGCGGCCACGAGCGGCTCGCTACTCCGGGTCCAGCCAGAGGGGGTCTTCGCAAAATCCTCCGGGATCTGGCGCCCTGGCTGACCCCCGTCCGCACTGACCCCCGTCTCGAGGCTCCTCGCCCGGCTGCGCCCGCCCGCCGGGGGCCCCGTGGGCGCCCCGCGCCTTTTGGGGGGCCCGGCCGAGGCCCGTCCCGGTGCCCGCCCGCGGGCGCCCCGCGGGCGCCCGGAGGGCCTGCGGCGGTGTGCCGCCTGCATCGCGGTCGTTGGCACGACAGCGCGCCCAACACACACACAGTCAAAAAGCCTAGTAAGGACGCGCGGGAAGGACGCAAGACCCTTGGAAGCCGAGGTTGGGACTTTTTGGGGGCGGCGGGCGACGAGAACCTCAAGGACGCAAGGGCAAGGAAGAGCAAGGACGCAAGGGTACCCTGAGCAAAGTCGCGCGTCCTTATCAGGGTTTTTGACTGTGCAGCACTCCGAGCTTCTCAAGGATCGTCGGGGGGGCGCCGCCGGCAGCCCCACGTCGAACCCCGTCGCGGGCAGCCACCGCGCGCCGAAGGCGCTCTGATCCCCGTCGCGGCGCGACGACGAGGCGACGTTGACCCCCGTCGGGGGGTACCCCCCCACGCCTATTAAGAAACCCAAAACTTCGGCTCGACCGCAAGAAACCCAACCGTGAGATCCCAGGACGTCCATGGATGTTTGGCGTGGGAGCGTTGCACTTTCCATCGCAAGACTTTCGAAGCCCAAGAAGCCCAGGGCACCCTGGAGGCAAGCAGGGTGTTTCTTGGCATGGGCCATGGGACCCCATTGTAGCTTGCACGCAGTACCTTGCACGACATAACGTCCAGCACATAGCTTGCACAAGGCAGCTTGCACCATATGGTTTGCACCACATAGCTTGCACCACGTGAGGGCCACTTTCAACAGAAAGGAACAACTCCACCCTCCCGGTCCAGGGTTCACGGCCCCCCGCTGGGACACAACAATTTGAATACTGTTCTGCCCGATGGTTCATTGCCCAGATGGGACAAGACAATCCCCGCCCAACCAGGTATCGACCCCCCCTCACCCCAGTCCTATAACACCGTGTGTGCAGTCGTCGATCTCAAAGGACAGTTTTCCAAGAACACCTTGCACATCATGACACAGCATCCACACGCGCGCGTTGTGAAACCAATTCGAACGAATCACATACAAAACAATGTAACTGCTGTTTTTTCTACCCGCACTCATCTGGTGAGATCGTCTGACAACCATCTACAATGTCCCAAACCTGCAATCTGATTTCACTACCCGGCGCATCCTTGCAAATCCAGCGTGCGCCCAATGCACGGGTCCGTATCGAACATGTCACCGAATGTGGACCCCGACGACCTGTTTCTAGCAAACTACGTGGTGCGATCTATCTGGGGCAATTTACGTGGCGAACCCATGTGGAGCAATGAAGGTGGTGCAATCTACGCGGTGCAATGATCAGTGCTCAACTTGAAATTGTCCACTCCACTGCTCGCGCAAACATCCCGCCCACCCACCCGCAACTTGGTTTGCATGAGTGCTTGGCGCTGGGTGGTGCATCTGTGTGGCCGCGACAGCCTGCGCATGCACGTGCGCGCAGCGGCCAATTACTTTGGCGCGACCGACGCAGCCGCGGTGGCGCTGACCGCTGGGCGCTTCCCAGCAGGCATCTCACTGTGAGTCGGCGATTTCGGCGGGCGCGGTATCATGGCAACGTCGACAATGGTAGACACGGTGATGATCGTAGTGATGCTGGTGGTGATGGTGATAGCGACGACGTCACGTCACGGCCAATGACGGCGCGGATACGGATCACGCCGACGACGATGACGGCGCCTTCGCGTCGGTGATGAAGATCTCGGAAAAAGTTCGACATGCGCGCGCGGCCGACGCGCGAGAGTGGCTCGCGTTGTATTATTTGACACGGATCGTGCCCCCTGTCACGCGCGCGAAAGCGTGCGAATGATGTCGGCCCGTTTTGAAATCCATGAAGATGTTGACAAACCGATGGTTTTCTCCAAGAATTCGCAAGAGCGCGAACGCACGTTTTTTTGAAAACTGATGTTGCGAGAGCATGTGGTTTTCTGCGTTTTGATGTTGTCTTTTGAAACCGCTACGCATACGAAGGTGTTTGACGGATTCTGGCGTGCGCGCGACGACGCGCGCGCGTGCACTTCGTCCCATGTTGTGCAAAGGACTCTCACGACGGTACGCGCGCCAAGGCGTTCGAACGATTTCGACACCCGCGCGCGCGAAGCCAGGTTGACAGCATTTCCGGAAAAATGATGGAAATAAAACCCGATGGTTTTCTGACGAATTCTCAAGAACGCACGCGCCATTTTTTGTTGTTTTGAAATTCCGTTTTGCGAAACCATGTGAACCGATATGTTGTTTGGACACTCGATTTTGAAATCCTTACGCAACCGAAAGTTGCTGAAGGATTCCGGCATGCGCGCGCGACGACGCGCGCGTGAACACTTCGTACTTTTGTTGTGCAAGGTTAGAGCGCACACCATCGACAGCACATCGTAGAGCGCACACCATCGACAGCACAACATCGCTTCTCTTTTCTGTAAAACAAGAATAGATCCCCCCTCCCGGGATCATCGGTCCCCCTGTTCGTGTTGCAATTTACATACGCCTCTGCCCCATCGCCCATCCGAAATATGAACTCGTACCATCCCAGCCCAGACGGCATCGCCCCCCCCCCCCGCCATCCTCTGCAAAACGTACTATGCGCGCGCATTTGTTCTTTTCCCCAAAATCACACGTTTCAAACAACACCTTGCACACAAAAATACGAAGTGTTCACGCGCGCGTCGTCGCGCGCGCATTCTGGAATCCTTCAGCAACCTTCGGTTGCGTAAGGATTTCAAAATCGAGTGTCCAAACAACATATCGGTTCACATGGTTTCGCAACGCGGAATTTCAAAACAACAAAAAATGGTGCGTGCGTTCTTGAGAATTCGTCAGAAAACCATCGGGTTTTATTTCCAGCATTGTCCGGAAATGCTGTCAACCTGGCTTCGCGCGCGCGGGTGCCGAAATCGTTCGAACGCCTTGGCGCGCGCACCGTCGTGAGAGTCCTTTGCAACAAAGGGGACGAAGTGCACACGCGCGCGTCGTCGCGCGCACGCCAGAATCTGTCAAACACCTCCGTATTCGCAGCGGTTTCAAAACACAACATCAACAACTCAGAAAACCACATGGTCTCGCAACATCAACTTTCAAGCGTGCGTTCGCGCTCTTGCGAAGTCTTGAGAAAACCATCGGCTTTCAACATCTTCGTGGGTTTCCAAAGGGGCCGTTCGCGCCGCATGCCGACACCATTCGCACGCCTTCGCGCGCGTGACAGGGGGGCACGATCCGCGTCAAATAAAACAACGCGGGCCACTCTCGCGCGTCGGCCGCGCGCATGTCGAACTTTTCCCGAAACCTTCATCACCTACGCGGAGGCGCCTTCATCGTCGTCGGCGTGATCCGTAGCCGCGCAATCACTGGCCGTGACGTCGTCGCTATCACCATCGCCACCAGCATCGCTACGATCATCACCGTGTCGACCGTTGTCGACGTTGCCATGATACCGCGCCCGCCGAAGTCGCCGACTCACAGTGAGATGCTTGTTGGGAAGCGCCCAGCGGTCAGCGCCACCGCGGCTGCGTCGGTCGCGCCAAAGTAATTGGCCGCTGCGCGCACGTGCATGCGCAGGCTGTCGCGGCCGCGCAGATGCACCAG